CTGAGCGACTGTGATTTGATGTGGCTGGGCGTTCAGCAGCTCAGCTGGGGCCTTGGTGCCAGGTGGCTGGTACGTTTCACTCGCTTGTTTCTCACCCAGCACTCATCCTCCTCAATGAGTGACCCCAATTTTGTGGATAGGTCCTGGATAGTATTGTTTTAGGCAGCAGGGGGACGCAATCTCTGTCTTCTGCATTTGTCTGCTCAATAGCAACTTTGGAGCTGAACCTGAATTAATGCCCAAAACGCCATCACAGAGGAGACGTCCCAAGAAAAGGCAGTCCTCCTGCCTGAAAGATGAAAATAAGGAGCTAAACAGGAGGAGGTAGGTGAGTCGGTTTGTTATGGCTCTGCCACGTGGCCTTTAAGAGTGAAACAAAATCGTGTTTCCATGTGCACAAGAACATAAAATAGCCACTGTATTCCGCAAGTTAGCAAATATGTTTAAAAGGGCATGTCAAGATCAATAAACATTTTGATTCTTGTGAAAGTTTGGGATAGAGTTGGCTGGTTTCCTTCACCTTCATTTTTCTTTTTTCTTTTTGTCTGGTTAGAAACAAAAAAATAATAAATACTCTATTTTGTTGTCTGTTTGGATTTGGTTTTTGTTTGATTTGATTTTGTTTCGGCACGATTTTTGACCTGAGGTTGCTACTGGTGTTCACTCCCTAAACCTTTGTGCTGGTGCCTGAGAGAACCCAAGACTGGAACTTGCTACCAGTGACGTGCAGAAACGGCATGTCCACGGTCATTGTTTGAACTGGCAGGCAGAAAGGCTCAAAGGCATTAGCGGTGAAACTGAAGTGGAAATTCCACGTGATTTGCTTAGAACCAACTGTACTTGAGGCTTTTAAAACTAGTCCTAAGTAGACAACAGTTGCCTGCAAACAGATGCCAAGGCAGGCTGGTGCAGGGCATGATTTAATTGCATGTGTACTCAGGGATGGCTGTGATGGTAATTAACTTCCTTGATGCCACTGCTTCATGGTAGCTGACAGTGTATCTGCTCTCATCTTGTGATCAAGGCAACCTTCCCAGAGAAGCTGTGAGCTGAGGGTAGGCACACTGACAGTTGCTGTAGTGTGACCCAAACCTTGTCACTGGGCATGCAGTAGTAAACTGTTTATGCGTTAAGGCACTTAAATTTTGATAACCATGGTGAAAAACCCACAGAAGTTGGACAGGAAGAGTTAGAACTAAAAGACTGTCAGAAAGCAGACATGGAGGATGGAGAGAACAGTAAGAATAGTAAGGAAGCGTGGGAAGTTCATGCGTGTGTGTGGTGAAGGAGGGCAGGAGAAGAAAATGTTGCAGATCTAAACAGGGAGAGCTCTTAAGACATACTGTTAGTTTTCAGGTAGCAGCTGCATGGCTCCCCTGAAGAAGACAAGTCTTGCATGTATTTTTCCTCATTTAAACTTAATTTTGAGAAAAATCCGCTGATGCAACAAAATGCCCGGGCAGGCGGTCATTTGTCAGCAGGAAGTTCGTGCTGCAGTTCAGCATGTTGTGCTCCATCCTGCGGGGTCAGACCATTGTTGTTTTCCTTGCTCTGTTTTTCTCAGTATGTATTTTAAAACCCATTTCTTAGTGTACTGTTAGTTACACATTTCCCAATTAGTAGTCTTTTTTGCTAATCCTAGCAAAACGTCCCTTTTCTTGCTAGAGGTCAGAATCAGGAATTAAGAGAACAAGGCTGGAAGGAGGGCATCAGCTTGAGTACTGTCAGTAGGACAAGTCACTGCTTGCCGGTGGTCTTGCACCAGGGTCTGTAAAACCTTCTTCTTACACTGCAGTGGGTTTTCTTAGCTGCCTTTTCTAGCTGTTGCGCACTTCCACATTGGCTCTCTGTTTCATCTTTGTCTCCAGTCTCCACCCTTTGCCTGGCTACCTCTAGGTCACTTCGGCATTGGAAGCTGCCTTTCTCTGGACTGCCAAGCCTGTCCTTTGGTTTTGGAATTGGCCACCTGATCTTCTTGACTTGCTGATCAAGTGTGTGGCTCCATCCTCTCGTGGCAAGTTACCTAATGGAGCAAAGAGGATTTCACTGCCGAAGTTCCCCAAGCCTCTGTGTAGTTAGTCAGGTTCAACTGAACCAATAGAGCTAGAGACAGTTACTCTACCTGATGTTTTTTCTCTTAAATAACAGTAATTCAAAGAACTCATGATCCTAACTGTACAGGTATTTTTTTGTTGCCTTCTTCAGGATTATGCTGTCAAGTACCACATGTATGGCAGCATTGCTGTGTTTCCATTGCTGTTTTCTAAACACGAACTCTGTGTTTAGAGCCATGGATGTTTTCTCAGTGCTTGGGTCCCTGCCTCCCCAGTGCTGGGGATGTGTTTTATTCTGAGCAGCCTGCCAGAGAGCAGCAGAGCCTTCTGTTTATAGATGGGATCTTGTTGATCTCTACAGGGGAGACTTCCACACGAAGTTGATCATGGGAGACTGCGATATCTTTGATCCAAAATCCCTCCATGTGTGGATGTCTGTATTTTGCTTGAGGCAAACAGAGTGGAGTTGGTTGTACCAGTGTGATTTTATTGGTGTCAGCTCCTCCTGGGGCTGTGGGTTCCTATCTGTGAAGAGCAACGAGTGTCCCGGTACCTCAAGTGCTGCAGTTTGTGTCCATATGACACAGCCTTTATTTGTGAGTCATGCCAGGCTGATAGCTGGGATGGCTGCAGTGAGGGTATGTGCTCTGCATCCCTGCCTATGGTATAGAGTAGTAACGTCCGGCAAAAAAAAATCTTGCAGGCAGCAGAGAGCAGTAAGCAGCAATTTCTAAATTGTTCCAGCTAAATCTGCCAGAGCGCATCTGCGAGCTCTCAAGCTTCAGCTCCTGCATTTCACCAGTGATAAGAGATGGGTTGTGAGGGGGAATGGTGGAGGGAAGAAACCTGCAGGTTCGCTTCAAAACTTGTTGTCTGCTTTTTTCTCTAAAAATCATTTGGGAGTGAGAGACTTCTTCATCACTTTACTTAAAATTGTTTCTATTTAAGGTTGTCCAGAAGGAGAAGCAGCATCAAGCCAAGTTCCCAAAGGCACCACAGCAAAGAGCAGCCCCGGAACCCCAGCCGTCAGGGGGAGGAGGCGTCTGTGCCCGACTGTGCAGTGAGGTCTCAGGCCAATGTTAAAACCGAGCTCCCAGCACTGACTGGGAAGTGGCTGGCAGAAGCACAAGGTCCCGTGGCGAAGATGGGTTGTCAGGACTGCCCTTGGGGTGCCGACAGCAGTGACACAGCCTGTAAGGCTGTTAGGGGGGAGCAGTTGCCCAAGGGGGATGCAGCCACTGAGCTGCACGATGTGTCTTCTGTCACTGCGATCCCTGCTGGCCAGACAGCAAGGGAGGGGGAGGAGGCCCCCAAAAGAAGAGCAAGTACCTCCACTCCCAAGGCTGCTAGAAATGGTGATCCTGCCACGCTCCAAGGAGATCCATCTCTTCAAGGCCTTGAAAAGGTGCTTCTCCAGGACTCCGACAGCAAAATAACTATCATGAGATCCAAAATGCACCGTTGCTCTGGACGCCGAAGCTTTGTGGGTGGCCCCCCCAAGAGCCGTAGGGCCTCCTTGGCAGAGAAATATTCACTGGCCAGCAAAAGAGAGAGCATGATCCGGAGGTCTATCAGCAGGGCCATTTCAAAGAAGGCAGCAGCGCGAGAATCATCCTCTGCCTCCAGCAGAGTGAGCTGTAAGTTTCTTTCTGTTGCTGAGTGCATTCATTTGGCTAAATCTGCTTCTCGGCTTTGGTGTGGGGAGTAAGCAGCTGTGGATCTGCTTATCTGTATTAACCTTGCCTCTGGCTCCTTTTAGTCTCCTTGTTGATAGGCCTTGTGGCTTCCACCCGTTTGGGGTGCAATCTTCAGGTCCTCATCTGCTGTCAGACCAAGTCTCAGGCCCTGTTTTGCTGCAGCAGGTGAAGGAAGCATCTGCTGGGGCGTAGGCGCAGGGGTTGGAGGTTGGGTTACATAGGTTGTGGATGGGCAAAAAAACACGAGTGAAAGGGAAAATGCAGTCTGGCTGGTTCTAGCCCCGTGTGAGGTTTGGCCGATCAGAAGAGACTATAGCATTCCCTGGGGAGGGGCTTTAATTTCAGTGTCTTCTGCCAGCTCCAAAAAATCTATAGGAACCGAATGTCTCCACCCCCTGAAATTTGGCTCCAATTGGCGGAGGAACTTAAATGCTTTTTGGGTGAAGATAGAGTGGATGGACTGAGAACCAAATAGCACAGCCGTCAGAGGAAACAAGATTCAGAAATCCAGGCTATTCCTGGTAGCACTAAACTCCTCGTATCCTCTGTTCCCACTGCTCCTGGGAAGGTTTTGCTATTTGGACTTTCTAAAATCATTGCTTCTGAAGTCAGATTGGCTTCTAATAAAGCACGGAGGCCTTTGGTATTTAGTTTTGTCAGCTTTGAGTCACACTGTATCTAGGCATTTGTTATAACACTTTCAGCTAAGTGGTGTTATGGGGGGAATTAAATCAGCCTAAATCCACCAAATCTCTGCAAAAAAACATGTAGGGAGGCAGTAGCTGAAGTCAATTGACTGGGAAATGCTATCTCTGACACAGGCAAGAGCATGTTTGTGCAGCTGGAGCAATCTGCAGGCAGAGGAGCTGCGGCTTCGGTTCTCTGCCTTCCCAGCCTACACCAGTTTGTCAGTGACACTTGAGGGAGGTGGTAGTGCTGGTGTGGAAAGCTGAGATGAGCAATCGGCGTGCTCCCTGGGAGGAAAGCCTGCACAGAGACCCGAGCTCTACCACGCACACACTGTTGGGAAGCCTCAGAATGAAATCCCCAAAGCTCTACCACGCACACACTGCTGCTGTTGGGAAGCCTCAGAATGAAATCCCCAAGCTAGCTGACGTTTTTCTCCTCCAGGTCAGAGCTCCTTGGAGGTTTTTGTGGAAGAAGATGTGACCAGCAGCATGAGGTGAGGCTACCATGTAAAGCAGGCAGGAAGAAACCACAGAAAACCCTGCAAGGAAGCTATATGGGTTGCTTTTATATTACAGATGTAGGACTGGTTTTGTAACGGACTGTTTAGGTGATGTCACCTGGGTCTGGTTGATATTTCAAAGTTTGCTGTTCAAGCACAGCCCTTCCTTTTCAGAAGTCTGTTCAGAGCATGGTGAGGTTAAGCACTGCATCAGTGTGGGGTCTAGCCTATGCCATGAGGCCTGAGAGGCTGCCAGCAGTTTCCCTGTCTGTGTTGGCTGGCATCATGTGATTTATGTCCTGGGATTCCTGGCTGTAACCAGCCTCTGAATGCCTGGTGGTGCTGGAGGTCAGTCAGCTGTGGTCTGAAAGGTGGACAGGTAAGATTCAGCCTAAGGCTCACGGAGCTTCCTTTTTACCTGCTATATGGAAGTTCTGCAGAAGGGGACAAAGCTCATCAGTGTGTTGTTCAGTAATGCAATGAATGGTCCATCAGAAGAATTTACAGCTCCACCTCTGTGTGGCCTGGCTGAAACAGGCTTGTGCCTCTGGGTGTACTTAGATTTATGGGGTTCCATATGCTGGCTCCATTATACTTTCATCACCTGTAACTTGCTCTTCAGAGAGTTGAAATAATTAAAATAACTCTTCTTTTACAGACCTGGACTAGAACTGAATCCCCCAAGTGAAAAGGTAAGTTCTAAGGAACAACCCACAAACTATCTGTCTGGACATCTTCTTGCCTGAGTGGGTACCTTTTGCTGAGCATACCACTGGAAGCCCAGAATGTGGCCAAGGGATCATTCTGTCATGTCCCTTCAAGCTCAGTGAAGGCGCTGCTGAGTTGGACAGTGCTGCCCTTCTAATGCTTAGGCAGCTAGTTAAGCCAGTTGGCTCTCTGGCTCCTGGTGGCTGGAGACATTTTGTGCCTTGATAAGGCCTCTTCAAGATGGAGTTCTTGGAGGCGCTTGGCCAGGTTCCCAGGAGTCAGCAAGCTTTTGCCTGTCATACCTGGGCATGGTAATTGACTGTGTGTATTCTTAGCCTGTCTCTGTTGCGTGGCTGGTTTAAGCTACAAAAATCAGGAGGGCAGTTCAAGTTAATGTGCTTTACTTGGCCACCAAGGCTATGTACGCCACAAGCTAGCGTAAGCCTGCAGTGCTAGCAGGACAAAGAAACCCATCCCCTCCTCTGAGGTGGCAAAAACATCTTGTGTTGTTGTGCTGCAAACCAGCTGAGGTGAAAACTAGCCCAGCAGGGAGAGGGGTGGGCTCTGCCTCAGAACAGGTCCCTGGTGCTGTTGGGAAGCATCAGCGGCAGGAGGAATGGGCAGGTGGCCCTGCTCCGGATCGTGGTGGTGGTAGCTGGTGGTAGCTTAGCAGGTAGGGGGAAGCATGGCCTGTGTGCAGGCAGCCCCATAACACTCTAGGATGCTGTGCTGCAGCAACTGTTTTGCTTGTCCTCCTGTGAATATACCATAAAGGTACTTAAAGTGCCTAATGATCTTGTAACCTGAGACACTTTACAGGGACTTGTCTTTCAGGACTGGAATATCTGTAGTTTGAAAATTGCTGTCTCCAAGGTGTGTAGAAGCTGCCTGTCATTCTTGAGGCACTTTGACTTTGGAGTCCAGATTCAGTAAAGCTCCTGCTCTGGTTGAGAAGTGCTGGGCAACTGTCCTTCCTGCAGAGACTGGTGTTTCATGAGCTGACCCCCTGTTACTGAAATGAGCCAGTCAGCATCCATGCAGCAGAGCTCTACTTGAGAGAGAAGCAGACCCTAGCCTAGCAGCTGGATTGCAGTTGGAAGTGACTGGCTTTTTCAGGGCAGCAGGTCCATGGTAGCCTTGTTCTTTGGAGCAACTGTGCTAAGAGAATGCTTGTTTCCTTTTCCTGCAGACTCCTGGAGATGTCCTCATTCCAAGCAAAAGTATACAAGCTGCCAGCCCTCCTGCACAGCACTTATCTTCTTCTGAGCAGCAGGCAGGGAACAGTGAAGGTAACTTCGAGTTGGTCTTGCTTTTCTTGCGTGAAGTCCCAAAGACACACAGACCAAGGGAGTCAACATGAGGGTTTGTGGAAAATCTGGGACTTGTGTTGAAACAAAACCACCTCTGACCAGTCAAGGTAATTTTTCAGGTAAACTTTTGATCTCCTGAAGAGGTGAGACATGCAATTAGATAAGCAAGGACATCTTGTAAATGTGTCCAAGCCTTGAGACAAATGCCGTCCTGTCCAACTTCAATCTGCATAATGAGTAAGTGGGGACACTTTGAAAGGAGGTTGCTCTTAGACCTGGAATCTTCCACATAGTGTAATGTTCTGTTAAAGCACCTTGACATCCCTTTCTTTTCGGTTTACATTATGTGAGGATTTACAGGTCCCGTTTATTTACTGTGCCTCAAAGCAAGGAGAGGGAGAGATTCAGGCTTCTTGTTTATCCCCTATGGGAACTGTAGGATCTGATAAGCAGCTGTAGCTGGAGGAGGGGGAAGAGTAGCTGGAGGCCTTTTGGTGAGATAGGTTGTGCCTGTTCAGAAGGATCTGTACAGGATGCGTACTACAGTGTGCTTCACAGTGTACATATACAACACTGATATTCCAGGTAGCCATCCAGGCTTCTGGTTTCTCAGTTTGGTTACGTGCCACAGGGCTCTGAGCATACAAGAGCTGGAGACAAAAATCGGAGCCCTGTAGGATGCCTTGCACATGGTGCTAACTACAGGTTTCTTCACAGGAACCTGTGTGAATCCAAACAGTGAACCCCAGAACGAGAACCAGGAACAACCCCACTGTGCCAAATCCCAGGAGAATCCCTCACGCATCTGGTATGAGACATTTGCAAGGAGGAGGAATGAGCCAGTGGTCTGGAAGGACTTGGGCCTGGCCTTTTAAGTAATTTGTTTAAAAAGCTGTGGGTGGGTGTTTCCCTATCTTCCCCCCCCCATCCCCCTTCCAATGTAGTTTTGAAATCTTCTTTGGCCAGATCTTGTCTCCTGAGAGTTCCTTGTGACTTCTTGAGCCTTGTTTGGGTCTGGCTTGGGAAGCAGACACATGACTTCATGCACAAACCAGCAAAGGTGACTAAAATAGCACAATTAAATCATAGCTTAGATGTGACTCTGAGTGGTTCATAAAGGGGTGGTCTGGGGGTAGTTTCAGAAGGCAACGTGAGTAGGTGACTGACCTGTTTATTTTTATCTTGTGCAAGTGTCTGGAATACCTGACTTGTTTCCTCACTGCTTGTATTACTAGTGTTTCACATGAGATTTCAGCTGCTTTCAGCTTTGCCCTCAGTCTCCTGTCCTGATTTTGCTGGGGTGAATTTGCTGTGGGTAGTGGATGGGAAGGGGAGTAACAGTAACTTCTGTTCTCACATGGATGCTTAGCACCGTGTGGTGGGTCAGGATCTGCAGCCTTCCTCAGGGCTGCTGCTGGTTTGGGCCCCAGTGAAGCAGTCCCCCTCTGTTTTTCCCTGGAATTAGGGGATGCAAGTGAAGTCATTTCTGACACAGGTAAATCTGAGTGTCCAAAGTATTTATAAAGCACGCGAAACCCTGCCAGTGAGGTGAGCTAGGCTGGCTAGTTGCAAACACACAGGGGTTATGTCTGTCTTGTGCTGTTAATACCAGATAGAGCAAAGACTTCTTGCTTGCTGGGACTGAGAGTGGAGAATGAGAGTGAGCGTGATGTTGTACATTACTGCTCTGGACCTTGGGTGTTCCCCTACCAAGTTGTCACGTGCCTTTCTTGTCCTCATCCATGACTGGATGGTGTGCCTGCCATGGGGCCGATTCAGTTCATAGGAGTCCCATGTCCTCTGGTGGCAGTGAGCAGGCAGAGGGAAATGTGTAAGAACAAGTAAATGCTTCTGACAAGATTGGGGAATATGATGGTCACCTGATGTGCCTCTTCCTAATGCCATTAGGACAAGAAGCTATAAAGAATCAATGGGTGTTATATGGAATGGGCAGCAGCCAGGGGGTCATACCCTTTCCCCTTTGGATGACAAGCACAAGGATTCAGCAAACCAGACTCCACCTTCTTCCTCTCCAGCTAGCAAGGTCAGTGGGTACCACGGCCCTTCTTTGCCTCCCTTTCCCTGGCAGGTACTAACTTACCTCCATCTTCTCCTCTTAGGTTGTTAGACCACTGAAAAACTTCCTGCAGGCTGTGCAGCGGAACCAGCTACTCACGAGCCCGGGGCCCACAGGACGTGGGGGAGTCATAAAGAACTTCATCAAACACAATACTCCTACCCGACCTAATCTTAAGGTGTGTCAGAGTCCCACCTTCCCTTGCAGGGCTGGAGGAGGGGATCAAGTTTGGGGGAGTGGCAGGAGGGACTGTTTGCTTATAAAAGCATAAACATATTTCTAGTTCTGTCTACTAACATGGATCAGTGCAGGTCCTTGTAGCAAACTGGCCTCACAGTTCTACTTCAGCCTCCCCAGGGGAGGGAAACTGGTTGGTGTTGCCTTGCATAGTCTGTCCACACACAGAGTTATTGGCCGGAGATCTTTAACACCAATCCTCAACCTTCCTCAGATGCAGAGAAATCTCAGTTGCTCTATCTATAGTCAGCAGAAACATTTTATATT